TTTTGGAAGTCTTAGGAAGATACGTTTTAGTTCTTCTTTGAATGTTTGGTACAACTCCCCTCTGAAGCTGTCTAGCCCCGAGCTTTTGTTTGCTGGAAGCTTTTTGATGACTGCTTCAGTTTCCTCCATTGTTACCGGCCTATTGAGGTTTTTAGATTCTTCCTGATTGAGTTTTGGAAGGTTGTATTTTTCTAGGAATATGTCCATTTCCTCTAGGTTGTCTAGTTTGTTGGAATAGAGTTGTTCATAGTATTGTTTAACAATCCTTTGTATTTCTGTGGGGTCTGTTGTTATTTTGCCTCTTTCATTTCTGACTTTGTTTATTTGGATCCTCTCTTTGCTTCTTTTTTTATTTTTAAAAATTTTGTTTTATTGCTTAAAGTATTACAAAGAGTATTACAATATGTCTCCTTCCCCCCCACCACCCCCCCTTGACCTTCCCCCGGCCTCCCTTACCCCCCAGTGTCTTGTGTCCATTGGTTATTCTTATATGCATGCATACAAGTCATTCGGTTGATCTCTTACTCTCCCCCCCCCTCCCGCCCCCACACCCTCCCCTGCCTTCCTGCTGTAGTTTGACAGTCTGTTTGATGCTGCTCTGCCTCTGTATCTATTTTTGTTCATCAGTTTATAATGGTATTTATTATCCATAAATGAGTGAGATCATGTGGTATTTTTCTTTCATTGACTGGCATGACTGCCTATTCCTTTTTTTTCCAAATATATTTTATTGATTTTTTACAGAGAGAGGAGAGAGATAGAGAGTTAGAACATCGATGAGACGAGAACATCGATCAGCTGCCTCCTGCACATCTCCCACTGGGGATGTGCCCGCAACCCAGGTACATGCCCTTGACCGGAATTGAACCTGGGACCCTTCAGTCCGCAGGCCGACGCTCTATCCACTGAGCAAACCGGTTTCGGCTTGACTGCTTATTTCACTTAGCATAATGCTCTCCAGTTCCATCCATGCTGTTGCAAATGGTAAGAATTCCTTCTTTTTTACAGCAGCATAGTATTCCATTGTGTAGATGTACTACAGTTTCTCTTTGCTTCTTGGTGAGCCTGGCTAGAGGTTCATCAGTCTTTTTTTTTTTAAATTTAATATATTTTATTGATTTTTTACGGAGAGGAAGGGAGAGGGTTAGAGAGTTAGAAACATCAATGAGAGAGAAACATTGATTAGCTGCCTCCTGCACACCCCCTACTAGGGATGTGCCCACAACCAAGGTACATGCCCTTGACTGGAATCGAACCCGGGACCCTTCAGTCTGCAGGCCGACGCTCTATCCACTAAGCCAAACCGGTCAGGGCAAGGTTCATCAGTCTTGTTTATCCTTTCAAAGAACCAGCTCTTGGTTTCATTGATCTTTTGTATTGTTTTTTTTCTTTTTGTCTCTATGTCATTTATTTCTGCTCTGATCTTTATTATCTTCTTCCTTCTGCTCACTCTGGGCTTTTCTTGTTGCTCTCTTTAAGTTGTAGAATTAGATGGTTTATTACCATTTTTTCTTGTGTTTTTGAGGTAGGCCTGTAGAGCTATAAACTTCCCTCTCAGGACTGCTTTCACTGTGTCCCATAGATTTTGGATTGTTGTGTTTTCATTGTCATTCATTTCCAGGATGTTTTTAATTTCTTCTTTGATCTCTTTGGTAACCCAGTCATTGTTTAATAGCATGCTATTCAGCTTCCAAGTGTTTGAATTTTTTTATTGTTTTTATTGTAGTTTACTTTTAATATTATGCTATTGTGGTCTGAGAAGATGCTTGATATGATTTCAATCTTCTTGAATTTGGAGAGACTTTGCCTGTGACCCAATATGTGGTCTATCTTTGAAAATGTCCCATGTGCACTTGAGAAGAACGTATATTCCATGGCTTTGGGGTGAAATGTTCTGAAGATGTCAAGTCCATCTGATCTAGTGAGTCATTTAGGATTGCTGTTTCTTTGCTGATTTTTTGTCTAGAAGATTTATCCAGTGATGTCAGTGGTGTATTAAAGTCCCCTACTATGATTGTATTGTTGTCGATCTCTCCCTTGATATCTTCCAGGAGTTTTTTTATGTATTTGGGTGCTCCTACATTGGGTGCATATATGTTTATCAGGGTTATATCTTCTTGTTGTATCAATTCCTTTAGTACTATGAAGTGGCCTTCCTTATCTCTTGATATGGCCTTCACTTTCAGGTCTATTTTGTCAGACCCCAGCTTTATTTTCATTTCCATTTGCCTGGAAGATATTTTTCCATCCCTTCACTTTCAGTCTGTGTGAGTCCCTTATTCTGAGGTGGGTCTCTTGTAGACAGCAAATATATGGGTCATGTTTTTTTATCCATTCAGCCACTTGATGTCTTTTGATTGGAGCATTTAGTCCAGGGGTGGGCAAACTTTTTGACTCGAGGGCCACAATGGGTTCTTAAACTGGACCGGAGGGCCGGAACAAAAGCATGGATGGAGTGTTTGTGTGAACTAATATAAATTCAAAGTAAACATCATTACATAAAAGGGTACTGTCTTTTTTTTTTTTTTAGTTTTATTTATTTCAAACGGGCGGATCCGGCCCGCGGGCTGTAGTTTGCCCACGGCTGATTTAGTCCATTTATGTTTAAAGTTATTGAAAGGTACTTGTTTGTAGCCATTTTTATTTTTTGTGCCTGTGTTCCTTCTTCCCTTTTTATTTCTTCTTTTTACACCAGTCCCTTTAGCATTTCTTGCATTGCTGGCTTGGTGGTGATAAACTCCTTTAGCCTTTTTTTGTCTGTGAAGCTCCTTATTTTCCCTTCAATTTTGAATGATAACCTTGCTGGATAGAGTATTCTTGGAATCAGTCCCTTGCTTTGCATCACTTTGTAAACTTCCTTCCATTCCTTTCTGGCCTGATGTGTTTCTGTTGAGAAATTATTTGATAATCTAATGGGAGATCCCTTGTATGTAACTTTCTGTCTCTCTCTTGCAGCCTTTAAGATTCTCTCTTTGTCCTGAACGTTTACCATCATAATTACAATGTGTCTTGGTGTGGGCCTTTTCGGGTTCATCTTTTTTTTTTTTTTTAAATATATTTTATTGATTTTTTACAGAGAGGAAGGGAAAGGGATAGAGAGTTAGAAACATCGATGAGAGAGAAACATTGATCAGCTGCCTCTTGCACACCCCCTACTGGGGATGTGCCCGCAACCCAGGTACATGCCCTTGACCGGAATCGAACCTGGGACCCTTCAGTCTGCAGGCCGACGCTCTATCCACTGAGCCAAACCGATTAGGGCTCGGGTTCATCTTGTTTGGGAATCTTTGTGCTTGTGTGACTGTTTTCTTCCCCACATCAGGGAAGTTTCTGACATTAGTTTTTCAAATAGGTTTTCTAACCCTTGTTCCTCTTCCTGTCGTTCTGGCACCCCTATTATTTTTATGTTGCTTCGTTTCATGTTGTTCCAAAGCCTCCCTTAGGCTCTCTTCCTGTCTTTTAATTTTTTTCTTCAATTGCAGTTCAGTTTGGGTGTGTTTTGCTTCCTTGTCTTCTAATTCGCTAATTTGGTCCTCCGCTTCTCCTACTCTACTGTTGAAACTTTCCATAGTGTTTTTTATTGCAGCTATATCACTCTTTATTTCTTCTTGACTCTTAACATAAGTTTTTGTTTTTTTTCATCCATCCGGTTTATAAACTGTATGACCCTTATTCTGAATTCTTTTTCTAACATATTGCATGCCTCCATTTCACTTAGCTCCTTTTCTGGCAATTCTCCTTTTTTTCCCTTTGGGGGTTTCTTTGCCCATTTTTTTCTCTCACTAAAGGACCTAGGTGTCGAGTTGTTTGGGGGCTGCTCCTCAGGCGGCAGCTGGTCCTCGGGCGGTTGCGGCAGCGGCTGCTCCTCAGTTGGTGGTGGCTCCTCTGGTGGGCGCTGCTTGCAACAGTGATGGCTCCTCTGGCTGGCGGGGGCAGGTTGCTCATGCGGCTGCTGCACCTCGGATGGGAGCAGGCTGTATGAGGCTGCTGCTCATGGTGCTGCTGCTTCTTGGATGGGGGCAGGCTGCTCACGCAACTGCTGCTCACGTGGTCGCCGCACCCTGGGCTCAGGTGTTGGGCTGGCCAGAGGGGAGCTTGCTTCGGAACTCACAGGAGGACCTTGGGGCTTTTAAAAAATATTTACCCCTGATAGCTCATTGTACACACGCACACCCACCCCCAGCTTCCCTTCCCTCCATTCCCACCCTCCCAGGAATGAGGGAGTCACTGATATAGACAGAAGTGTATAACAGGTGTTTTGGGAAAGAAGGTTAAAAAAACCCTAACTACTTGAAATTAGATTGGATTCAAGCATGATCTCAAAAATGGTGAAATGGAAAAAGGACACTTTAGATAGGGAATATAGTTGATAGGCAAAAACATGAAGACAAGAAAATGTGTACATTTAGGGGAAGTAGGAGGATAAGGACAGCTGAATTATGAAAGATTTTTAAGTACGGAGCAGAAGAGTAGAACTCATCACTATAAAGGTTTTTGCACAGGTATCTAACAATAAAGTGCCATTTCTGAAGGATGATTATTACCCTTAGATATGGAAGAAAAGGTTAGTTGTGGTAATAGAAGCTGGCTAAGGAAGTAGCTTTGGGAATAGATGACAGACTGTTCAAGAAAAATCTCAACAGACTGTGCTTAAGGACTGCATGTTAAAGAATGAAAGTGGGAGACTACTTAAATGAATTTAAGTTAACTTGGAATATTGACAGGAATTAGAAAATGGACCTGCTAACTTTTGGAAGAAGGAGGATGGGAAGGAGTTGAATTTAGTTTTGAACATACTGTGTCTGAGTCATCTGTCAGATATTCATAAAAATAGCCAGTAGCCATTGAGAAATACTGGACTTGGTTGAAAAGTCAAAATGGGAAGCAGGGAGGGGAAGGGAGAAAGAACTCCTTTATCGTGAGCAGAGGAAGCATTGAAACTGTGAGCATGAATTGACTTGTTAGTGTTTAGAATTCTGGTTTTATTTCTTTTTATGTAGACCATGGATTCTTATGCTATCCCAGAATCGACTCCCAGACGAAGTGCATCCTCAAGGCTTAAAGATCACTTTATAGGTGCTACTCCTCTGCAGAAGCGGTTGGAATCAGTCAGGAAGCTGACTTCATTTGTCCCGCCTTCACCTCAAAGGAAAATTCCCCAGTGTTCACAGTTGCAGGTATGCTTTTGTGTTACTCAATAATTGAGAATAGATGTGAACAGAACATCTCATTTTTTGTTACAATTTCTAGTACTTTTAGTATTTTCTCCATCCCTCAGGTAATAAAATAAATGAGAAACAGCAAAAAGAAAGTTATTCACACTGTCAGGAAGTAGTACCTCCTTTGTTATGTCTTTTAAACCCTTTGATCTAGAACACTGCCACAATATTTCTTTGTCTTTTACGACATAGACATTTTTGAAGAGTATAGTTTTCTCCTTTCCCTTTTTAAAGTAGAATATGCCTTATTTTGTATTTGTGTGCTGTTTCCTCACGATTAGGTTGAAGTTGTGTATTCTTGGCTGGGATACTATATAGGTGCTATTGTGTCCTGGGGGAATGACATCTGGTACCACATAGGTAATGTTAATTTTGATCATCCTGTCAAGGTGTTGCCCAATAATTACTGTTTTAGTTCCCTCTGCAACTAATAAGCATCTATGGCAGCCGTGGGCAAACTACGGCCCGCGGGCCGGATCCGGCCCGTTTGAAATGAATAAAACTAAAAAAAAAAAAAAGACCGTACCCTTTTATGTAATGATGTTTACTTTGAATTTATATTAGTTCACACAAACACTCCATCCATGCTTTTGTTCCGGCCCTCCGGTCCAGTTTAAGAACCCATTGTGGCCCTCGAGTCAAAAAGTTTGCCCACCCCTGATCTATGGGGAGATATTTTAAGATAATGCAAATATCATGTTCCTTATCAAAATTTCCCCCTAGACTTAACATCCATTGATAATTTTTGCCTGACCCCATCTTTATCATGATGGTTGCAAAATAATGACTTTCTAATCTCCCTTTACTCCGTATTTACCAATCAGCTTTTGGCATTCTATTTTAAGCCCTTTTCTTTTCTCCTCCATTTGTTTATTGGAGACTTGAACTCACGAATTCCTGTTTTTCAAATTTTTGTAATTCATTACCAAGTTATTTTGGTGTTTAAATTGGCTCAGATTTATCTGGTGGCATCATGCTCTGTTTTGATCATTCGCACACGACCCTGACGGTATGAAACATTAGTAATTTGTAATTTTACTGAAACATGAAATAAAGCCCCAGGCAGTTTGGTGTGTGGTTTTGAGTCACTGAGCTAGGAACCTGGCTATCAGTCACTCAGACCTTCCTGGTAACTTTGTTTTCTTAACACTGTTGTGCGCACAGTATCTTTTGGGATATGAGAAAAGTTTTGCTTCTTTGTGACAACTTTCTTAAAGAAAAATTGCTAGTGCTGGTAATGAAAGTGATAGTTCCTAACCACTAAACAGAAACTGTATTAATTAAAGTTTGGATTGTCCAATTCAGTACTCCCTTATGTATATGATACAAATAATTTTGCCATACCTTTTGCCTAGTAACTTTGTCAGAACAAATGTTTTTGTAAATAAACAACTAGTGAAAGTTCTAAAAGATAGTGGTGAGACTATCTCACGAAGTATGAATTGTATAGAAAAATTCAATTCAGGATAAAACTAGGAGCTATAGAGTGTCTGTGAAGACTCTTGCTCAGTAATGACATAGTGCCAATATAGTGTAGGTGAAGTGTTGTTTTTTTAAATAAATTATATTTTTATTGATTTCAGAGAGGAAGGAGAGGGAGAGAGAGAAACATCAATGATGAGAGAGAATCATTGATCGGCTATCTCCTGCATACCCCCTACTAGGGATCGGGCCCACAACCTGGGCATGTGTCCTTAACTGGAATCGAATCTGGGACCCGTCAGTCTGCAGGCTGATGCTGTATCCATTGAGCCAAACCAGCTAGGGCTGCTTTTGTTTTTGATGGTACCTGTGGTTCTAATAGAGCATGGCAAAAATACTCCCAGGTATCTTTTTATTTAATCTACCAAATTAGGCATTGTGTCATAGAATGGCATAGTGTGCCAGGCACTTTTAAAAATTACTTAATTAAATCCAATAAAATTAGTTGCTCTAAGAATAATTATTATTTTCAAAATCTATAACTTGAAGTTTCTACAAGTGAAACATAAATTTTCATCCATTAATATTTATTGAACACCTGTTCTAGATAGCACTGCTCTAAGTGCTAGAAAGTAGTAGTGAATAAAATAGACAAAATTCATGATTTCATTAAACTCATTCTCTAGTAGGAAAAATAGACAGTAAAAGTCACACAAATTCTATATAATCTATATAATAAAAGCCTAATAAGCAAATCGACTGAATGGCGGAACAACTGGTAGGCAGGGGGTGGGGCTGGAGAGCGGGGGGGCGCCAGGCCAGCCAAGGCAGGTGCCAGTGGGCAGAGGGAGGGGACGGTGATTGGGGAGGCGGCGGCGACTGGCAGTGGTGGAGGGGCAATTGGGGGGCGGTGCCGGCTGCTCACCGGCCAGTGCTGTCCCCTGATTGGCCTGTGGATCACCTCCCGCAGAGGGAGGCCAGACTTTGGCTTAGGCCCACTCCTCTGAGGGCTTCTGCTCTGTGAGAGGGCGCAGGCTGGGCTGAAGGACTGTGCACCAGGCCTCTAGTGTATAATATCAGATAGTCATAAATATAAAGCATGTTAGGAGTTAGAAAGTGACAAGTTGGAGTGGGTTCAGGTGCTACTTTAGGTACAGTGGCCTTTTGAGTGACATTTAGGCAAAGACCTGATTGAAGGAAAGGGACAGGCCAGGTACAACAAAAGCAAAGGCCTGTTCAAAGATCTTCAGAGTCCTGCAAACTCCAGTTTGGCTGGAGTGCAAAGATCAGGTACCCAGCCATAGATTAGTATTAAATACTATGATTAAATTCTTATTTACTAAAGTTTCCTAATTCTTAAACTTCATTTGCTGTGATCTTTTTTTTTTTTAGGAAGATGTTGATCCTCAAAAGGTTGCATTCCTTCTACATAAGCAATGGACTCTGTATAGTTTAACTCCCCTGTATAAGTTCTCCTACACAAATCTCAAAGAGTACTCTAAATTTCTGAGTGCATTTATTGTTGCTGAAAAGCAAAAAGGACTTGCTGTGGAAGTGGGCGAAGACTTGAACATCAAAGTGATTTTCTCTACTCTCCTGGGAATGAAAGGAACACAAAGGGACCCTGATGCATTTCTCGTCCAGGTATAGTATAGGCAATGCTTGCTAGGGAAAATAATCTGCATTGTCTTGGTTTGGACATTGTGCTAATTGTTACAGTTTTTGAATTTCTTTTTTCTTTTTTTTAAATATATATTATTGATTTCTTACAGAGAGGAAGGGAGAGGGATAGAGAGTTAGAAACATCGATGAGAGAGAAACATCGGTCAGCTGCCTCCTGCACACTCCCTATTGGGCATGTGCCTGCAACCAAGGTATATGCCCTTGACCGGAATCGAACCTGGGACCCTTGAGTCCCCAGGCTGACGCTCTATCCATTGAGCCAAACCAGTTAGGGCAGTTTTTGAATTTCTTAAGCTTGTGATTTATAACCTCTTATGTCTTATTTGACCAAATTTAAAGTAGATAATGACCAACTTAAAAAATACTTATTACTTCAGGGTGGGGCAATACAGAGTAGGTTTACAGTTGTGAGTAGTGAAACAGAGTTTATTCTTGTATTATTTATTAATTATTGTATTATTTTCCATATGAACAACTGTTAACCTACTTTTGCCTCACCCTGTATAACATGTTTATTTTAGAAAACTTAAAAAATAAAGTACAAAGAAAGTTAAAAACCACAGTTCAGCATCTTGGTATACATCTTTTTGGCAGTAGATAATCTGAATAGGCCTATGTCTATTAAAGAAGTTGGATAAATAATTAATAACCTTCCAAAATAGAAAGCATCAGGTCCAGACAGTTTCGCTGGTGAATTCTACCAAGCACTTAAAGAAGAAAATAAACCAATTATCTACATTCTCTTTCAGAGGATAGAAGCAGAGGGAATACTTTCTAACTCATTCTGGGAGGCCAGCATTACCCTAATACCAAAAACAGACTAAGACACTATAACAAAAGAAAACTACAAATCAGTATCCCTCATGAGCATAGATACATCCATTTAGCTATCTGTATCTATTAAAAATTGGGATTATATTGCCCATATTTATTTGCATTATGGCTTTTTTCCTAATAATTAATGTTGAAGATAATTACTCATATCATTAGGATTTTTACTGGGATTAAATTTCTAGAAGTAGAATGTTAACAAAGAAAATATGTAACTTAGCCCAGCTTGTGTGGCACGATGGTTGAGCATTGACCTATGAACCAGGAAGTCATGGTTCCATTCCCTATCAGTGCACATGCCTGTGTTATGGGCTCAATCCCCAGTGTGGGGGCATGCAGGAGGCAGCCGATCAATGATTCCCTCTCATCATTGATGTTTCTCTCTCCCTCTCCTCTGAAATCAATAAAAATACATATTTTTAAAAAGTAACTTATTTTTACATTTTGTGATATAGGTCAAGTTACTCTCAGAAATGTAACCTTTTACCTTCCTATGTGCAGTGTATAAAAGTAATATAACTAACTTTTGATTTATTCAGAAACTGAATTTATTTTATTCATGCCTGCTACTTCTGTTTATGAGGTAACTCGTCTTAGTCATTGATAAGTTAAATTCTGAAACAGTTGAACAGACCTAATTTGTTTATTTGTTACACATCAGGGGTCAGCCAACCATGGACTGCATGGCCAAGTCTGACCCATGGCTTATTTCTGTAAATGAGGTTTTATTGGAGCAGAGCCCCTTTCATTTGTTTATGAATTTTCTATGGCTGCTTTTGTGCTACAATAGCAAAGCTGAGTATTTGCTATGGCCCACAAGCCCTAAAGTATTTACTATTTGGTCCTTTACAGAAAAAGTTTGCTGAGCCATGGTATATATAGGTCATGGTATTTGCAAGGATCTCAAGATGCCTAGGATTAGATTCAGCTGCATATGACAGAAAGCTTAAATAATAGCAAATTAAACGAGATAGAGGTTTATCTATCTTACAGAGGTGTATGTAGGTAAGCTATTCAAGGCTGGTATATATATGCTTTATGATATTATTAATAATAGGCCCCTTCTCTCTTCTCTTTTATCTTTTGGTGTGTGGCTTCCATCCTTAAGGTGGCTTTATAGTCTAAGATGGATCTTGGAGCTCTAGATATATGCAAGTTTCCGGCAAAAATTAGAACGAAGATGGGAAGGGCCAACAGGATGCCTACTACCGCATAAATCTTTAGTGAAACTTTCTGAGATCCAGAAGCTTCTCTTTATTTTATTTTTTATTAAAATTTTTGTTGTTGTTAATCCTCACCCGCGGATATTTTTTCATTGATTTTTAGAGAGAGTGGAAGGAAGAGGGAGAGACAGAGAGAAACATCGACGTGAGAGAGACTCATCAATTGGTTGCTTCCTACACGCACCCTGACCAGGGCAGGGATACCTGCAACCGAGGTACATGCCCTTGACCAGAATTGAACCTGGGGCCCTTCAGTCTGTGGGCTGATGCTCTATCCACTGAGCCAAATTTTAAAAATATATTTTTATTGATTTCAGAGAAAGGAAGGGAGAGGAAGATAGAAACATCAATGATCAGAGAGAATCATTGATAGGTTGCCTTCTGCACACTCCCTACTGGGGATCGAGCCCACAACCTGGGTATGTGCCCTGACGGGTAATCGAACCATTACCTCCTGGTTCATAGGTCGATGCTCAACCCCTGAGCCACACGGGCTGGACTCATTTTGCTTTTCAATGTTAAAACTTTTCATATTTAAAATTTACCTAAATAAATGAAGCCCTAGTAAAATCCTCACCTGAGGACATGAGAGAGTTCAAGCACATTGCATTTGGTGACCTTTTACTGCTCCTTCTAAAGCTGAGATCTTTTTCCCCCTGATGCTGTACTTGGTTGTACCATATCAGTAGCTTTTATTTTGCATTTTGGTTGTACGAAGATCTTGCCATATACCGTGTCTCTAGTGTATAAGAATATTAGGAAGCCGCCCGTGCCGCCTGCTGAAGCCAGCGCTTCTGTGTGGTGCTCTTGCCGTGCCCGGCGTGGCCAGCACCATGTGCGCCTCCCGTGACGACTGGCGCTGTGCTCAGTCAATGCACGAGTTCTCAGCCAAGGACATCGACGGGCGCATGGTTAACCTGGACAAGTACCGGGGCTTCGTGTGCATCGTCACCACCGTGGCCTCACAATGAGGCAAAACAGACGTAAACTACACTCAGCTTGTCGACCTGCACGCCCGATATGCTGAGTGTGGTTTACGGATCCTGGCTTTCCCTTGCAACCAGTTTGGGAGGCAGGAGCCAGGGACTAATGCCGAGATCAAAGAGTTCGCTGCCAGCTATAATGTCAAATTCGATAGGAATAGCAAGATCTGTGTGAACGGAGATGATGCCCACCCTCTGTGGAAGTGGATGAAAGCCCAGCCCAAGGGGAGGGGCATCCTGGGAAATGCCATCAAATGGAACTTCACCAAGTTCCTCATTGACAAGAATGGTTGTGTGGTGAAAAGGTATGGTCCCATGGAAGAGCCCCAGGTCATAGAGAAGGACCTGCCCTGCTACCCTTAGCTCCACAAGTGTGCACCCCCACATCTGAGCCCACTGCCTGCGCCCCTCGGAGCCTTCCACCCGGCACTCATGACAGTCTTTCTAAAAACCAGCCTGCTGGTGGGGCAGACCCGAGAACCCGGCGTGCACTTCTGCCGGAGGAAGGCCCCTCGGCCGGCCTGGCTCGCAGCTCTGCACCCCGACCCCGGCTGCCTTGTGGGAATAAAACTTACAAATTGGAAAAAAAAAATATTAGGAAAAAGGTCAGTGAACTTAATAAAACCTAAAATGATTAGGGACACTGTTCTTTGTTTTTTCGTAAGTAATATAATGTCTTCGTAGTTTTAAATGTACTAATTACTTTTGAGGTGATGTAATTTAGGAGTAAATGTACTTTTGAACTTAATGAACCTGTTTTCTTTCTTTGTAGATTCTGTCAAAATCTCAATTGCCATCTGAGAACAGAGAAGGTAAAGTGTTGTGGACTGGTTGGTTCTGCTGTATATTTGGAGACAGTCTTCTGGAGACTGTTTCAGAAGATTTCACCTGCTTACCCTTATTCCTTGCAAATGGAGCAGAGACTAATACAGCCTTAATTGGAACCTGGTTTCAGAAAACTTTTGACTGTCATTTCAGTCCTTTAGCAATCAATGCATTTAATCTTTCCTGGATGGCAGCTATGTGGACTGCATGCAAAATGGACCATTATGTGGCTACTACTGAGTTTCTTTGGTCTGTACCGTGTAGCCCTCAAAGTCTGGATATTTCTTATGCCATACATCCGGAGGATGCAAAAGCTTTGTGGGACAGTGTCCACAAAGCCCCTGGGGAAGTTACCCAGGAGGAAGTTGACTTGTTCATGGACTGCCTTTGTTCACATTTCCATAGGCATTTCAAAATTCACTTATCAGCCACAAGATTGGTTCGCGTTTCAACATCTGTAGCTTCAGCACATACTAATGGAAAAATAAAGGTTAGTTTGAACAAATCTAGTTAAGTAATTTTTCTTATTGTTGCATAGTTTTCAAAATGTATGGTGATTGCATTTTCCACATGGACTAAATAAATTGAATGTCTGCCAATAGAGACATTTTATTTTATGCTTTATAAAAGATTTATAAAAATGTTTAGCCTTTTTGATTCAGCTTTTTTATAAAAAAATTCATTTTTAGAGAGAGGAAGGAAGAGGGAGAGAGAGAAACATCAGTGTGAGAGCAAAATATGAACCGACTGTCTCCTGCACGCCCCCTACTGGGGATTGAGCATGTGCCCTGACTAGAAATTGAACCAGCAATTTTTCAGTGTACAGGATGATGCCCAACCAACTGAGCCACCCTGGCCAGGGCTTGATTCAACTTTATTATGGAAGGATACTATGTGTTGTGTGCTACAGATTTTGGAAATAATATGAATTACTCTGTAGTAACTTTGAAACTTTCAAAATAGTTTCTTGTCAAACTTTGAAATAATAATCAGATAACAGGATTTTGTGTTAGATAAGGAAATTATAGCCAGAAACATATAACTAAGATAATCATTTTCATATTTTAGGCTTTTCTATCCCTGCTGGAAAAGAAATAATAAAGACAGCCCTGACCGGTTTGGCTCAGTGGATAGAGTGTTGGCCTGCGGACTGAAAGGTCCCAGGTTTGATTCTGGTCAAGGGCATGTACCTTGGTTGCAGGCACATCCCCAGTAGGAGGTGTGCAGGAGGCAGCTGATCGATGTTTCTCTCTCATCGATGCTTCTGGCTCTCTATCCCTCTCCCTTCCTCTTTGTAAAAAATCAATAAAATAAGATAAAAAAAGGAAGTAATAAAGACATTGTTTTACTGTTCATGAAGTCCTTATTAGAGTAAGTATGAAAAACCAATTGAAAGTAGGCCCTTAAGTATATTAAAATATGTTAATATATTTAAAATACATTCATATACAACCACCATAAACACTCAGTGAATACTGGCTTTGTCACTGTGCTAGGAGTTTAACATACCTTAATTGTAATCTGTTAGCCAGGTTTCTGCCATCTACTTTGTTTTTATAAGATACTTTTGGAATATATATATATATATATATATATATATATATATCCCTTTGAGAAGAAGGAAGCTATGAACCTCCTAGAAAATGTAAATACTCAATGTGTATATAAGTTCAAGGGGTTCAGAGATGCCCTTCCTCCCCTCACTCTTTAGGCAGGAGTTAGCCTAAGCACGGAACTCAGGATAAATAAGAACCCTAGTCTAATTACTTCTAAGCACCATTGACCATAGTTGTGAATTTATTAGACTTAGAGCAGCAATGGTTTGTTTTCATATTCATATCTTAGCTTGCAGATAGGGAATTTAAAATAATCCTGGAATATTTATCAAATACAAACTACTTTATTATCATAATTCTATTTTAATTTTAAATGTTGTCCCTTTTTTTTCTTTTCAGATTCTGTGTCATAAATACCTTATTGGAGTGTTGGCATATTTGACAGAACTGGCAATTTTTCAAATTGAGTGAGGCCTTGTGGGGATCATAAGTCATGGATTTTATACCTTTTTCTCATTGTTTGATTAATTGCTATGCTGAGAAGGGACTGCAGGAGAAATGGGCATCCATCTCTGCATCTGTTTCCTCACAGTGCCTTTGGAGGTGCCCGTAGAAGCCAAGAAGGATCTAGAACAGAAGGTGGTAGGGCATGAACCACAGCCAGGCGCTTCTGTAATAGTCATGACTATCAGGGGTGCCAGTCTCTAGAAGATGCTGAGTTGTTATTTGTTGGCCATCTTCCTAAAAAATATGTAATGTTTAGTATGTCAGACGTTTCGGATTCAAATGAGAGAGCTCTAATATTCAGTATTTCTGACTTGGGTCTCTAAAACTTTTAGTTCCTTGTAAGCATTTTAGACTTGCATTGAGAGAATTTCTGTCTTGTAAAGACATTTTCCTAGCACAATTTTGCTGTAGAGAACTAGCAATCAAAAAATCCTCTGCAAAGGAAACTAAAAATGAATATGGATTTTTAGAAGCCATTAATATGCTTGTTTTTAATATTATTCATTTCTTATTGCAGTGTTGAATTAAATATATTCACTTTTAAAATGAAGCAGTGTGTTTATCAATATCTTGGTGACAGATATTTAATGTTTGAGGAATGGGAAGTCATGGGCTTTTTCTCTAGCACAAAGGTTACAAACCAACAATTACGGAGAGTCATACAAATTGTACATTGGAAAGGCAGAGAGTTTCTTCATTCCCTAATTTTGCTTTAGCACAGTGCTTGGTAAATATCTGTAGATAAAATAAATGAATTTTAACCAACTCTTCCATTTTGCAGATGAAATGTACTAACTTTTGAGACTTGCCCTAGCAGTTATATCTAAACCTCTTTTTACTACTGAGCATAGAAAAGTTTTGTTTTACTTTAGAAACCATGTTTTTAAAAACCTTGTCTGGGGGAAAATATCTTTAATAGGCTATTATTCTAAAAACAAAAAACAAGGTCTGGAGTGTGGTATTGTTTTACATTAGGAACAGAAGAGGTAGTAGAAAAAGCATGGGCATTGGAGTCAGACATTCATTCATTCAACTAATATTAAGCTCCTACTTTATACTTAGAATTGTATTGGGTAATAAGAATATAGTAGTGAAGACAAAAAAGGTCCCTACCCTGTGGAAATTATATTCTAATGGAGGAAGGCAAAAGATAATTTCATATGGAGATAAAACACTATAAAGAAAATAAGGCAATGAGATGAGAAAAAGGGTGAGTGGGATGGGCCTACTTTACTTACAATTGTCGAAGAAGGGCTCTCTGAGGAAGTGACAGGGGAGCTGAGTCCTGAGTGAGGAGCAGGAACCAGCCACCTGAAGATCTGAGGACGAGTGTGCTAGGCAGGTGACACTACAGGAGCAAAGGCCTTGGGACAGGTAAGGGCTCAGTTTGAGGAACAAAGGGAACGTATGGCTGGAGCACAGTAAGAGTGGAGTAGTGCGAGATGGAACTGAAGGGACTATGCAGCAGAAACTTCTTCCATGGTGTTATGACTCCCAACTTTTGGCTGGGCACATGGCTGCCCAGAAACAGGAAGACATTTTCCAGCCTTTCTCAGAGGTCTCTTAAGTTCTGACCCCTGTAAGTGGAAGCGTTATGTAGAGCTTTCAGGAATCTTCCTTAAAACACAGCAAGCATGTACCCCTTGCTCTTTTCTTCTTCCAACTTCGCTGCTTGGTACACATGTAATGACTGGTACTCTAGCTGCTCTTTTAGGTCACAGGGATGAGGGTCAGTCCTAAAGACCGGGGAACATGGCCTGGAAGGAGTTTGTGCCCTGAGGACTTTTAAAAATATATGTATTTTTATTGATTTCAGCCTCCTGCATGCCCCCTACTGGGGATCAAGCCCACAACCCGGGCATGTGCCCTTGACAGGAATTGAACCCGGACCCTTCAGTCTGCAGGCCGACGCTCTAACCACTGAGCCAAACCTGTTAGGGCCCTGAGGACTTCTTGAAGCTGAACCCTGTACCAGCCTTGGGAGGTCTTCCTTTAGACATGTGTGTCAGAGAAGTAAACTTCCATCTTGTTTTAAGCTATTGCTGTTTGGGTCTCTTGCTCATAACCAAACCTAATCCTAATACCTAGAGGCAGGATTCCCATCATCTCAGTTTTCATAGGGACTGTGAAGAAATTGGATTTTATCCTAAATGCAATGGGGAGCCCCTGAAGTTTTAAGCAGGAGAGTAATATCACCCACTGTATATTTTATAAGGTATTGGAGAAATTGTAGGGAGACAAGAGTGGAAGAGGGGAAACAGGTAAAGGGGTGTTAGAAATGGTACATACTCTATGGAGAAGTTAGTGTATAGTATGCTCTCTTTTATGAGGAATGGAGGAATATGTGTGTGTATTTCCCTATGTTAAAAAAGCAACAATGGAAGGGACAAGTCAAAAACTAATAAAAGTGGTTACTAATAGAAAAGAAGGAATTGGGGAGAGGAGACAGGAATGAAAGCCTTAGTATCTTAAGGCTTCTTTGAATGTTCCATTTATAGTATGGAACCATATAAGTGGTTTATATAGCTATAAAACAAAATCAGATCCAAAAGGAAAAAAAAGCAATCCTTAAAATTGGAAACAAATGAACCTAAATATATATGAAGTTCATGCTATAATCACACGAAGAACTATTCTTAGTATCTTTACTACTATTTTGACTGTGCATCGTTAGTGGTCTATATCCTAGGAAAAGAGCAGCAAAGGAATATTAAATTTCATTCAGTTATATTTTTATTAATATTGGTATTTTACCACTATTATTAAGATGAAACGTAATTATAACAATGTTAGGAACCAAGTTTTACAGTGTAAAAGATACACAATTATAATATCAGGTAAGCTAAGTAGAAACTATACTACTAAATTTTAATTGGAAATATCAGAATGAGCTCATTTATTTTTGAAATGCAAAAAGTTTTAAATATTTTTTTAAAAATATATTTTATTGATTTTTTTACAGAGAGGAAAGAAGAGGGATAGTTAGAAACACTGATGAGAGAGAAACATCGACCAGCTGCCTCCTGCACACCTCCCACTGGGGATGTGCCCGCAACCAAGGCACATGCCCTCGACTGGAATCGAACCTGGGACCTTTCAGTCCACAGGCCGACGCTCTATCCACTGAGCCAAACCGGTCAGGGCAAAAAAAAAAAAAAAGTTTTAAATATTGATGAAGTCTAGTTTATCAATGTTTTTATTGTCCTTTTGCTGTCATCTAAGAAATCATTGTTTAATCTTCAGTCCTGAAGTTTACTCTTATGTTTTCTTCTATGGATTTTATAATTTTAACTCTTAACTTTAGGTCTGTAATCCATCTTGAGTTAATTTTTATGTGTGGTGTGAGGTAAGCATCCAAATTCATATGACATATGGATATTCATTTGTCCCAGCACCATTTATAGAAAAGATTATTTTCCCATTGAATTGTCTGTCACCTTTCTTAAAAATCAGTTGGCTATAAATGTTTATTTCTGGATTCATTGATTTATAATATGTCAGTTCTCATTGCCTATACCACACTGAATTGATTACTGTAGATTTGTAGTGTTTTTTTAAATCAGGAAGTATGACTTTTCTAGCTGTTTTCAAGGTTGTTTTGGCTATTCTGGGTCTTCCACATTTTTATAAGAATTTTAGCATTTGTTGGTCAATTTCTGTAAAACAGTTTTGATTTTGATAGTGATTGTGTTGAATCTGTAGATTTGGGGAGTATTGTCATCATAATTATATTAAGTCTTCCAATCTATGAATGTGGGATATTTTTCCACTTATTTAAACCTTTCAAAATTTTCAACGAAGTTTTATAGTTTTCAGTATACAAATATTGCACTTTGTTAAATTTATTCCTAAGTATTTTATGCTATTGAGACTAGAATTGTTTTCTTAATTTCATTTTTGGATTGTTTGTTACTATTGCACAGAAATACAATTGATTTTATATATTGCTCTTGTATCCTATGGCCTCACTAGAGTTGTTTACGTTAGTATTTTCAGTGAATTCCTTAGGATTTTCTATATACAAGATTGGTGTCATTTGTGAATAAAGCCAGTTTTATTTTTTAATTGCAATCTGGATGTTTTATATATATATATATATATTGTGCTAACTTGCCTTGGCTACTCTTCAGTATAAGAAATAGAAATGGTGAGAAAGTATGTCTTGTTCCTGATGGTAATGGGAAAGCATATTTCACTATTAAATATGATGCTAGCTGTAGGTGTTTCATAGGTGTCCTGTCAGGTTAAAGATGTTCTCTTCTATTTTCTAATTTGTTGAGGGAGGGGTTTTTATTATGAATGGATGTTGAATCTTGTCAAATTTACTTTTTTGTATCTATTGAGATGATTATAACTTATTACTCAAAACTATACTCATTACTTCTGGTTTCTAGTTTCATATGGAAGGAGGTTGGAAGTTGCCACTCTGTCCTAAGCAATAAGTAAAAAGGAGAACAGATGGAAAAGTTAATTACTCTTTTTAGGTCCCTAAGAGAGGGGAGGACACAGGGCAAATTGGTGCCCCCAAGACTGTAGAGACAAACAGGTGAATACAGGGAGTCATGCTCACTGGAGCAGAAACTACGTGGGAACCAGGCCAGGGGTAAGCAAACCAGAACTGTAATTAATGAAATGCTGGAGGCTCAGTGTGGACAAATCTGCGAGTTACAACCCCCAACGGCCCAGTTATAGAGTTGAGGAACTCACTATGCAAGTAAGTTGTAATAAACCCGGCTCCAATGAACACTGGCCAGTAATGTAGTTCCTGGGTCTCTGTTCTTGAATCACAGCCATATGAATCGTTCCCATTGGGGAATTCCCTAGGTATAGAGAGTCTCACCTCTTGAATTTAGTTCTTATTCTCCTTTTTTTCCAATATAGGTAATACTAGAGCCTTGGAAAATAGGTGATTTTGCCTTGAAGACTGGCTGTTAACAATGCAGTACTGTAAGGATCTCATATTTTTTATACTTTTTCAATGTTATTAACCAGTTAAATAAGGTTTGTTAGTGTATTTAGTTTCAGGCCGTTTCAGGTTGGCCTGCAGGGGCAATGGGGCACAGAAAGAAATGGAGTGGGAGTTTGGGCAACTGATTTCTAAAGTTGGTTTTATCATTGCCTGCTTACTCTATGGAAGGGATTTCTGGGTTTTCACTCTTAAAGCAAAGAAACAAATGGGTCTGGAAATAGATGAATTGTTGAGTCCTTCTAGCTCCAAATTCTATGATTCTAAGTCCTATACTAGAAAACAAGTGTAGTGGTTAGGTAATATATTAAATATTTATAATTAAATTATATAAGAGTTAAACATATTAATATAAACATTGTTATATATATTAAACTTTTTAATATAAAGTCTTTATAAAATATAACATAATTCTAGTTAGCAATCCCTTTATTTCTTCAGATTTATTAACTTTATATAAAGGAAATATAAATGATATAGAAACAGAACATCTAAATAGTAAAGACACAAGGATTAAAAAACATTAACCAAACTTTTTTTATGGTAAGTACTCTTTATTTTAAAAAGTTATACATGCTAGAAAAAAGCATAAATGATACACGTAAACAATTGTTTACCAAATACTTTTCCTTGTAAAGGTGCAAATGATTTTTAAATGTAAACACAAAAGTTGCCAAATATTTTTTTGTGGGGAGAAGAGAAGGTTATTCCTTTTGTTGTGGATAAACTCTTAAAAGATTTTCCTGCAGAAGGTCTATGAACACAATGACAAAAAATTTCAACCACTGAAATTTTTAGCATTTTCTCAAAACTTTTTAACTTTTCTCCAAAAAGTGCAATGTGAGAGTAGTAGCAGTGACTTTATAGAATGAGGAGGATAATATATAGCTGTATAAAAGAACCAAGATAATAAAATGCCTCAGCTGGTTTTACACCCCTTCCCATGTACTATCACGTGAACTGAAGAATTCATTCCTTGGCAGCTGTGATTACAGGTAAGCCTCAGCTTCAGCAGCCTGAGCATCAAATGTAAGTTGCACAACAATTCACTGCTGGGGAGAGCACATTTCTCCCTGCTGGTCCTTGGTAGCAATATGCAAATCAAAAGGAAAGTTGCTTCAGTCGGTAGTGTTTTAGAGTAAAAACATGCGCATAATTCCATTGGGTGATTCTCTAGACAGTACATGAGAATTGCATACTGTTTTGTAGAGGCACACAGTAGGGCTCTAGATCTAGCAGAAACTATAAAATACTGCGGAGAAAAAACTTTAAATGTAGCAGAAAACAAGTTCATATGGAAGGAAACAAGATGCAAAGTTTCACTGATGAAAACTTTTAGAGTCCTGGTTTTATTGATTTAATACTTTTAAAAAAGATTTTCAAGTCTTCTTGTGCTTAGTGCAAGAATGATAGCTAACTTACACACTTTGCATTCTGATCTTTGTCACTGGTAGTCCTTGTAAGGAGTGGAATCGTGGATGGAGTGCCTAGAAATAACAGCTAGATCATATATAGCCCTTCTCCCCTCATTAACATTTTGAAACTTAGTATCTTAAAATTTCAGTGCTTGGAATTTTTTATTTTGGTTGGGAGGAAAGCTAAAAAAACAAAACCATGATAAATTAAAACCAAAAATAAATATTCTGCACAGAACTGAACATTATTGTGCAAAGATGGCATCCTATAGGTGAAGTACTTTGTGTTTGTGTTTCCATAGTTGAGGCACCGGCAAAGAATAAAATTTGTTCATGTTTTCCCGAGCTTAGAAAGCTACAAAGTCAAAGCGCTCCAGAATACAGCAGAGCATACACACAGCTGTCTTCTAGACGTTCACCATATGTGGGACTCACAATGCGTCATTTTAATAACTCCTACTCCACCCCCCAGCCGACGGTAATTCATCCCGCCATATAACCTGCAAAGAAAGAAAATCTGATTTCTAATTGGAAAAAAACACCATTGTCTCTGTTTTAGATCACAATATTTTTAGCTTTCAAACTTCGCTTCCAAAGATTAGGAGCTGGAATTGAGCACTGGCAAGTGGCAGAATTATTTTAGATGCTGACTGAAATGCTATCACTTATAGGGGACTGTTTTAAGAATAAAAGTAGATGGGACTTTTATATCTACTACTTTTGCATCGTGACTATATGACTTTACACCTAGACTGACTTCTTACACTTATACAGAACCATATATTCTACAATTCTGTTTCTAATTTTTGTCCTGGCTATATTATTTTCCCACCCATGTTTCCTTCCACCTAACCTTCATGAATTATTTGTTTTTACTGATTTTAGAGAGGGAGGAATATTGAGAGAAACATCATCAGTCAGCTGCCTCCTGCACACCCTCTACTGGGGATGGAGCCCGAAACCCAGGCATGTCCCCCTGACCAGAATAGAACCCGGGACCCTTCAGTCTGCAGGCCGACACTGAATCCACTGAGCCAAACCAGCTAGGGCCGTTTGTATGTACAAACCCTTCATGGAACAAAACTGGACGTAAGTAAATAAAGTTAGCATCTAGTTTGTGCCATGTAAACAAGATCATCTTCAAATTAAGGATTTCTATGGGAAAGAATATTAACTCCTCTGCCAGCCATGAGAAAACTGGTGTTAAGTTGGGGATCTATAACCACTATATTTAGATAGTTATCTTTCAACAGATAATTCTACTTATTGAGAAACAAGTCCTTACATTAAGATCATAGTGATTAAGAGGCAGAAGTAAATGTCTTACTCAAATTCCCACTAAAGTTAGAAAGCTGTATGTGGAAGGAAATATGCCCCAAGAGGGAGGCTCCTATTCATGAAAATCTGCCATTATATCTCCCTTACCTGTCCTAGGCTTTGCTAGATGTTACCTTTGCAGTGAGGACTTCCTGAGCCACCCTTTACAATGGACACTCCAGCCTCCTCCCCACAATGTCAGAGCATGTCCACCCCCTGCAGTGGCACTATGTCTCACTATCATGTCAGCTCCTGGAGGGCAGGGAGTTCTATTTTGTTCACTTCTGAATTCCCAGGGTCTACAACACTCAGTGCATCTTTACTTAATGAACAAAGTTGAAGCAAAAAGGGCTACAATGTCATTAGTCTGGCTTAGCCTTACAGAGCCAGGAAAGAGATGTAGAATCCAAAGAATGTCACCTAAATATCTGAAAACGGGCTTTTCTAGAGATGAAGACTAGACAAAGTCTTATAAACAGATGAAAAATCTGGGTGGGTAGCTACAGGCACAAAATTAGAAAATGTACACTTAGAACACAACAGGATGGGCTATGAGACTGCCCCTCTTGGAGTCGTGGCTATAAAACAGACCTCAGCTGACCTTTCACAGCCATGAGAAAACCTTTCAGGATGTCTGCTGCCTCAGATCTCATGTCGACTGATACCTATGGTTGATGTGCAACCTCAACCACTGAGATGCCTACCCTAGAATTTGTTTAGGCAAAGAAGCTCAAATTTATTGAAAAACAGACCTCAAATTGTGTGGAAGGTAAAACTTTCCTTAAAAGGCTGGTATGAAGTACGTCAAACTATCAGTATTGATATTTTTATGTTAAATGTGAGGATTAACTATATATTTGATACTTTAATATGCCAGTGTTTCTTAAACATAAGAACTTAAAGTATATCAGATTAATTTGTGAATCAAATGTAAACTATGTGATTAAAGATTTAAACCCATGATTTTAAGTTTAGAGGTTTAAGAGAATTTTGCTAAATTTGTAAGCGTTTTGAGTATTTAAAATAAATGCATGAGCCACCTGATTTATGTGAATTTATAAAAACCACTTAAGTACTTAGGAAGGATTTGTGAGACAATTAAAGATTTAAAAGCAAAGTAAAATTAAACCCTTAAATAAGATATAGCCTCCTCCTAAAAGTGACTTAAAATATTCTATTTTAAAGTCTAGTAAATTTTAAATAGATTTTAAAAGCTCAAGGAAAAAATACTGGTTTTAAATGAAATATTTTTTTAAAAGTAATTGCAGTTTGTTTTTACTGGATACCGAAAAACTGCACTGAGACAAAGATCAAGGTTCTAATTGGAACTCGGTCATTTACTTTCTCTGTGCCTCCTTTTCCTCTGCTAAACGATGGGCCTAGAGCAGTGATGGCGAACCTTTTGAGCTCGGCGTGTCAGCATTTTGAAAAACCGTAACTCTGGTGCCGTGTCACATATAGAAATTTTTTGATATTTGCAACCATAGTAAAACACTTATATTTTTGATATTTATTTTATATATTTAAATGCCATTTAACAAAGAAAAATAAATGAGTTCGAGTGTCACCTCTGACACGGGTGTCATAGGTTCGCCATCACTGGCCTAGAGAGACCCCCCCCCCCCCACCCCCGGTTTGTCTTCTCAAGTATAAATCTGGACAGTTACCAAGGAGAAGAGTTTTGTAAGATGCCAGCCACTTTAAAGCAATTAAGTGAAAATAAACCACCAAATATGGTAACTTCAGCCCTCTTCAAAATACTGCAAGAGGTAATTCAGTGCGCCGACCACCCTGATTTTGACAGTCATGGGCTATCTCAAGCCCATTATTTTCAAGGCAGCAGTGAGGTGATTCACAACATAGCTGAAAAAGTTACCTCCATGTATTGGCATCAGGATCAAAAACTTCAATGGTCTTCAAGTATGTTGTGCCATCAAAACCTCCTACAGCCATGAGTTGTCCATTCACCACCGCCAGGCCAACCTGTAGACCGAAACACAGTGTCTGCTAAAGAATCTGATCCCTGGGAAAATGCAGAATGGTTTCTAGATAAATCTCTTTAATAAAAGATAATTCTTTATGGCCTTACCTTCTGGTTTGCTTGATTTGTTTTGTTTGTTTGGTTTACTTATTATTTAATAGATTTTTGTCTGTGTTAGAGGAAAAAACAAAAATCTATTAAATTACGGGAACTAGAAAATTATATTCAATTAGGATATTTACAGAGTTCAAAACATATTAAATTTTAGAAAAAGCATTCCCTGGGAGTGAACCAGAACCTCCAAATTGCTCTATTTTTTTTGGTATTTACCTGTAAAGTTAACTTTAAACCAATGCTGCAGTGCTACTAGATTGATTCTAGTCCCAGAAAATGCCGTACACTTCACATCTCTGTGCTTTTGCACATATTCCCCGGCTGCTGTTTTCCTTCTCTCTTCTAGAACATCTGTTCTTTCATGAACTAGCCTACATGTGCCTTTCTCTGATGAGTCTTTTCACTGCCCCCCAAAGCAGTAAGCCTATTTGCCCATGCTCTCCTCTAATGCACAGGCCACTACTATACATTGGTCTTTTATCATTAGCTGCAAACATTTTCTTTCACTAACCTGGAAGCCCTCTGAGGGGAGCAATCATATCATACTCAATTTTGCTTTCCTAGCACACAGTAAATATTTGCTAGACAAGTGAAAATAAAATCAACAGAATGTAGCAGTGAAAACAGCAGGACTGTAACTAGACGCTGTTGAGTACCAGTAATAAAGAGCCACAGCTACATGAATGCTTTGACCTGCTGGGCCATGCAGTGGTGGTCCCCGATTTGTGCAAACCAGAACTGACTTTTATCCTCAGGTCATGGAGCCTTCAGCCACTGCTGGGTTCTCCCACCTGTTGTGCTACATGGATGGACTCCTGACAGGATTTGGTTTATGAGTTACATCTCACTCTTCATCCAGCCGATGTCCTGGATGGATGAAGTCTAGACCCACCCTGGAAGTCTCTGTAGTTCCTGGTCATCCATGGTCTAGAACAGCAGTTCTCAACCCGTGAGTCACGACCCCTTTGGCGGTCGAACGACCCTTTCACAGGGGTCGCCTAAGACCATCCTGCATATTAGATATTTACATTACGATTCATAACAGTAGCAACATTACAGTTATGAAGTAGCAACGAAAATAATTTTATGGTTGGGTCACAACATGAGGAACTGTATTTAAAGGGCCAGAAGGTTGAGAACCACTGGTCTAGAATATGACACAGGCCAGCCCAATCTGGCCTATACTGTAAATGCGACAGACCAAAACATTTGTGGAGACTGGTGGTGGGCCCAGACGTATTTCTGCCAGAACATTTATACTGGCATGCGAATTCCTTAGAAATATTAGGTAGAAATATTTAGCCCTAATAGATATAAGATGAATATGGGTGAAGTTAGATGGTGGTAGATAAGACAGGGAGATGCCTTTCAGATGCAACTTATACTAAATCATAAAAAATAAATCTCTAATGATATATTTAACTACTTGAGACAACAGCAATTAAAATAAAATTTTCCCTGGTATAGAAGTGCAGGGATTGTTTTGCCTGACCTGCACCTTCGCACTGTCCTGTGTTATGTGTTGCACGCCAAGAGTCCTGCACAGCCCTCTCCTGGTTCTGGATTTTCAAAGTTTTTAGTAGCTGGGCACTTACTCCGCTACGGCGGGATGTCATAGCCACCACCGGAGACCACTGGTTAGTTCTGGGGTTGTATCTCTCCGCACTGCTGAGCTCTGTGGTGTCGTCTCTGCCTCCCACAGCATAGATCATGTCCTGATACACTGCACAGCCCAGGTGTTTCCTGCGGGTCCCCATGGGGGCGATGGTGTGCCATCTGTTCTCCTGAGGACTGTAGCGCTCCACTGCAGGGAACAGAAAAGCCAGCGTTTCCTCTCCCCTCTAGTTTCCTGCACAGCCACTGAAACTGTGATCACACACAAACATTTTCAATAAGTAATCTGATTTTGCTTCTGTGAAGGACTTGTATGCCATTGGACATCAGCGCTACACTCTCATCAGGGGCTGGTGTCTTCCAGGTATGGTGTGGTGGAAAGGGCGGGCGTTGGAGTCAAGGTACCTAGTTCTAGTTCTGACTGTAGGACTCATTGGCTGGGTGACTCTTGGCCTCACTTATCTTTAAATGAGGGCATTAGAATACATGATCTGTAAGCACCATTTTGTACTAATAATTTATTGTCTTAATCAGACAACTCTACCTTGTACTCTCTTGCCTCTATTCCTACTGCATTCTAAGCCATTGAAAAGAAGATATTTGACAATGAATATATCTGAGTGCCACATATTTAGAAATAGAAAGGACTAACACAAGCCAGTTTATAGCTATAAGTTTTTACTCCTAGACTTTGATATAGAGCAGCGGTTCTCAACCTGTGGGTCGCGACCCCTTTGGGGGTTGAACGACCCTTTCACAGGTCGCCTAAGACCATCGGAAAACACATATATAATTACATACTGTTTTTGTGATTAATCACTATGCTTTAATTATGTTCAATTTGTAACAATGAAATTGGGGGTCACCACAACATGAACTGTATTAAAGGGTCGCAGCATTAGGAAGGTTGAGAACCACTGATATAGAGGGGGTTTTTTTTTGTCTTCTAAGGAGAGATGGTTGGGGGGAGGGAACTAGTCATATTAAGAAAACAGTTCTTTTATTCATCATAAATTCCCAGCAGCTTGTACAGCGGAGGGAGAAAGACATATTTTGAGAATATACACGAAGACTCTGGTTGCCCAGGGAGCTGAGGAGGAGCTAAGAGTTGCCCTCTCCTAGAGGGAAAATAATTTGTCCAATAAATTACAGGATATGCCTGACTTTTATACTTTTTAAAAAATATGTTTTGATTTTTTTTTTTAGAGAGAAAGGAGAGGGATAGAGAGATAGAAACATCAATGAGAAACATCGATTGGCTGCCTCCTTGCACACGCCGCCCCTCCTGGGGGCTGAGCCCACAACCCTGGCATGTGCCCTGACTCCTGGTTCATGGGTTGACACTCAACCACTGAGCCACACCAGCCAGGCACCCGACATTTATACTTTTTGTAGGGAGACTCTCCAAAGGAAAACGTGTTGCTTTGGGAGAAGCAGACTGACTCTGGAAGGGACCAACCTGTGTTGAGGGGGGATGTCCCGTCAGAGCCACCCACGGCATATAAGAAGCCTCCTAGCACAGCCACAGCCACGCCTAGCCTTCGGGTGCTCATGGAAGCCACTCGGGTCCATTTGTTCTCTTTTGGATCATACCTGCAGTGAGAGAAACCACAGTCTACATGCAGGTTTCCAGTAAGTGATACCTTTTTCATAAGGTGTGAAATGACCGAAAGATGCTGGAGGCATGGACATGCGATGGTCAAATGCACAGTGCGAATCTAACACACTTCACTAGTTTTACGGGGAAAAGCTCTTAGACCAGCCGTGGGCAAACTACGGCCCGCGGGCCGGATCCGGCCCGTTTGAAATGAATAAAACTAAAAAAAAAAAAAAGACCGTACCCTTTTATGTAATGATGTTTACTTTGAATTTATATTAGTTCACACAAACACTCCATCCATGCTTTTGTTCCGGCCCCCCGGTCCAGTTTAAGAACCCATTGTGGCCCTCGAGTCAAAAAGTTTGCCCACCCCTGTCTTAGACCCAGTGCCTGTGTCAGTTATGAGCTATTTTGTACTCTGACTTCTGATGCCACGGCTAGTGCTCTGAAAAAGACACTGTTCTTTGCCACGCTGACTATCAGATTCTGCCAAAAGGAAGGACTAGACACTGGACATCGAGGTAGAGGCCAACGGTTCTATTAACCATCCTGTTTTGTGGGGGGCACAAAACAGCCCCCCACAACAAAGAAGTATCTGGCCCAAAATGTCAGTCATGCTTGATGCTGAGAAACCCCCTTCTAAGTCCTTCAGATCTAGCTGCAGGTCCCTTGCATTTGTTCTGTAATGGGAAAAAGCAAAACCCTTCTTAGCTCCACCTGTTCATACATTTCCCCCTCATGCTTTCTAGTAAACACGCATTGGCTATTGGCTGTTCTTAGCGCTATCAGACTTCAACAACTGCTTTTCTGTTTTCTCCTGCACAGACAATGATATCATGCAGGTCTTGTGCCTACTGGTAGTTTGCTTTGCTTATTTGTGTTTTGGAAATCATGGGGATACCCTTCCCCCTAGTTTATTTTAAATGTCCACAGGGTTTTGTTTTTTTAATTGTGGTAAAATATACATAAAATTTACCACTGTAACCATTTTTAAGTGTTGAAAACATTCACATTATCATGCAACCAAGCTCCATACTTTTCCATAGTTTTTTAGCTTTGCTATCGGTTGCTGTGTTTATTTTTATGTGGGAATTTGGAGATTAAAAAATTATGCTATTACTACAGTTATCTTCCCAGAATCCTCTTGCATAGAATTTTTAAAAGTGAGGAAATAAGTTTATTGACAGATAGCATAGCTTTTAAGAGTTACCTACAATTTTAAGACACAGTTAAACTCTTCAACTTAAGCATGGTAACCCAACTCAAATGCCATTTCAAAAAATTCTGGAGTCATGAGCATTTCTTTTTAAGAAGTAAGGATGAAATATGGCTATGTTCTTACCAGTAGTCATAGCACATGAGACTCCAAATCTAATCTCTAAGACAGAGCGAGAAAAAACTGATGGGGCAGGGTATTAAAAACAGAATCTATTTCACCAAAATTAACAGATTTGTAAAGTGTAAAGTAAACCTTGGCATCTGCCCAGATTTCCCTTAGAAACACAAGAATTAACGAGACTCCACATACAAAATATTTGGAGTCCTTATAAGATGTGCTAGACAAAGAATGATTGCTTTAATTATTTTTCTGAAAGAAGTCTGGGCAGTCTTACATTCGGTATACTCCAAGAACTGTGGAAAAAGACAGCAGATTTCAGAAGTGGTATGCTTGATATCCTATATAGAAGGCAATTTTAAAATGATCCCAACACTTTAATGTTAGGCTCATCAGTGGAGCACATAGTTTAAAAAACCAAGTTAATACCTGTCATCTTCCTAGACTTGAAGATCAACTGAAAATGTTCTCCTTAAAGTCCATGGGAAAAGTACCAAATAGTGGATCCCCTAGTGATCTAAATTGCTTCTTTTAAAGAGCCCTCTATATACCTTTTATTTTTTAAAATGTATCTGTATTGATGAAAGTATTACAGATATCCCCTTTCTTCCCCCACATTGACCCCCTCCACTCCACCCCCTCCAGGCCTTCACTGCACTATTGACTGTGTCCATGAATTACGCATATCCTATGTAATAAAAGCCTAATATGCTAAGTGTCCGATCTCTCAACTGTTCGACTAGTCACTATGACCTGCACTGACCACTCTGACTGGTAGGATAGCTTGCTGCTGGGATCCAGCCAATTGGTACTGGGTGAGATGGGTCGGATATGCCCTGGAGCCCTCCCTCGGTCCCTCCCCGGCCCGATCCGTGTACCGGTGGGGTCCCTCAGCCTGGCCTGCACCCTCTTATAACCCGGGACCCCTTGGGGAATGTCGGAGAGCCGGTTTCAGCCCGATCCCTGCAGGCCAGGCCAAGGGACCCTCATGCACCCACCGAGCCTCTAGTATGCAAAGTTCTTGGTTAATCTCTTCCCACCCTCCATATGCCTTTTATAACTTGAAAAAAAAAATCACCTCTCAACAATGTTGAGGCAAGACACACCGTCCTGGCCACCGACAGCATAAAGAAATCCTCCAAGCACTGCCACACCAACACTTGTCCTGCAGGTGCTTGTAGGAGCCACGTCACTGCTCCACTGGTTTGTTTTGGGGTCATACCTGCCGAGAACATCAAGAGCAGAGTTTGTCTTACACAAAGAAAGTATGGCTATGCTTACATATTCACCAACAAATAATATATATGTTCTTTCCCCTAAATATGACTAATAACTAAAGCATATAAAAGAATAATTTATGTTGTTTTTTTATATTAATTTTGAGAGAGGAAGGGAAAGAGAGAAACATGGATGTGAGAAACATCGACTGGCTGCCTTCTGTACCCCACCCCTACCAGGGATCGAACCCTCAACTCCAGTATCTGTGCTAACGCGAAATTGAACCTGCCACCTTCTGATGTACTGGACAATGCTTCAACCAACTATACTACAACAGCCAGGGCTACGTTTTTATTTTTTTTTAAATTCATTTTCACTTAAAAAAATTCATTTTTACTAAAGAAGTTACATATGAATATAATTTTTTTTTTCAGGATGTTATATATAGAGAGCTAAAGTTCCCTTTGAATTACATTTGGTTTCTGGTCTCTTCCCATTTTGGTGTATATCCTACAAGACTTGTCAATAAAATACTTTAAAATAGGTATAGCCCTGACCGGTTTGGCTCAGTAGATAGAGCATCAGGCCGAGGACTGAAAGGTCCCAGGTTCAATTCCGATCAAGGGCATGTACCTTGGTTGTAGGCTTGATCCCCAGTAGGGGGCGTGCAGGAGGCAGCTGATCGATGTTTCTCATCGATATTTCTAACTCTTTATCCCTCTTCTCCCTTCCTCTCTGTAAAAAATCAATAAAAAAAAATATTTTTAAATGTCTTATTCTATGAGTGGGTGTCTCTCTTTTTTTAAAAAAAGGTATATATCCACATATATATTCTTTATATGCAAGCATGTTTTTGTTGCATAAATAATACTATTCAGTAGGCACTCTTTCCAAAGAAAGAAGAGCATGCATACCCATTGAGGAAGAGGTAGGAAAGAGGATCGCATGTCTAAGGACCAGCAAATAATTTAGTGGGTCTGCAGCAGCACGTTTAGGGAACACTGGTGTGCCAGGGAAGATAGACTTGGGAAAACAGGTGGAGGTAAGATCATAAAGGACTTGCATGCTAAGTGGTCTAGGCTGCCAACCGGTGCCACAGATGCAGTACTAAAGCAGCAAGTCCTACCTGTTTCCTAATGAACATCCCAAATGAAACTATATGAATTGTTCAGAAGAAAATTTCACATTGACCTTACTTACCTTTCAACACTATTGAGATAAGAGGATCCATCATGGCCTCCTACTGCATATAACAGGTCATCAAGAACACTGACCCCAACGCCACATCGCCTTTTGCTCATTGAAGCTACCATTCGCCACTCATTGGTCTGGGGGTCATATCGTTCTACACTGGAAATGGCATCTCCACTGCACCAACCACCAACTGGGGAAGTAACGCAAATGGTCAGAATGCCTGTCCCAAAGCACAGGCTGTACCACTTCCTGCCAACCTGTAAACTGTGACCAGTCTTGGACTTAACATGTTGACTTTTACTTCGTCCACTAGGATTGCTAAAATCTTTCATTTCTAAGTAAGTTAGTATATGGTCCATTTTACAGAGACAGGCAAGGGTACCAATTCAAATGGGACTGGGAGGTACTGTGACAAAACAGAAGACTGAATTTAGCTAGAAAGCCTGACTGTTGCCTTTACTGAGCTCTGTGATCCTTGAAAAATCCTGTAAACTACCTAGTTGTAAAATAAGAAATAAAAACTTTAAAGTGAAACAAAATACATGAAACTGCTTTCTAAAGCACAACACACTACATAAATGTAATTAAGAGCCAAAAGAAGAACCATAATTCAGAAGCCTGTTCTTTTTGGTTTTACTCTGTCAGGGGAGAGGGATTTTGGCTCTTCTCATGATTTCTTACTAGGTCCTCTTGTAACTAAAAATAATGCAAAAATTCTTATGATTTATTTACAAAATATTTTGCTTTTTAATCTCTAATCTGTACTGAATTCTGTATTATTCAACATAATATTTTTTAAAATTGATTTTAGAGAGGGAGAGAGAGAGAGAGAGAGAGAGAGAGAGAGAGAGAGAGAGAGAGAGAGAAAGAGGAAGAAACATCAATCAGTTGCCTCTGGCACACACCCCTACAGGGACCAAACCCACAACCTGGGTATGTGCCCGCTGGGAACCAAACTGGTGACCTTTCAGTCCAAGGAATGACGCTCAACTAACTGAGCCACACTAGCCAGCACCTAACATAACATTTTAGATAAAAAAATGTTTTAAAGAAGTTACATTTTTCATAAGCTCATAACAAGTTCAAACTGAGTTCCATAAAGCATCTGAGTGCTCCCTGAAAGCATGGTTATTTGGAATACATTTGTTATTCTTTCAAACCATCTCTATTTCAATCCAAATAAGAGCTATATTCTAGAGCTTAAAAAGTGAAGTCTAAGGATACCTTTACCTCAAAACATTTGAAAACTACTGTTTTCTAAGGGGTTTCAATAACTTCCAGAGCTAGACTGAAATAGGAATGTTTCTAACCTTCTAGCTGGATTTGAAAATTCATTTATTTATTTCAAATCTCAATGTGCACACATTTTATTTTATTATGGTTTCATGTAAGTCAGGGTATTAAACTAATACTATGTATCCCTTTCCAGCAATATTTTCCTTAGTACACTGGTTTTCTAAAGGCCTGTGTTTTTCTTTAGTATCGAAGAACAGTTGATGAAGTAATATTAATTTGATTTGGAACCATGTAATCTAATAAAAAGCTGTTTTTTATGACTTCCATTATAAAATTGTGTCTGAGGTTTAATGAGCAGGCTATTTGATTTGCCTCAAATGCTCACAACCCTCACAGTAGGAGCCAGATTTTATTCTGGAATTTAAGATGTTTTCTCTGATATTGAAACTCCTGGCATACATCCTAGAACAGAATTCAAATTAGGATACACAAAACTTAGTGTCATTTAGTATTAGTTAAATATACTGATTTAAATGAAACCTGATTTTCCATTAATCATGATGGGTGGGTGATAATTTCTCCCTAGTCTTCCTCAGGATCAACAGATTCAGGGGCAGACAATAGGAGCAAAATGATACAGCATAAGGTTGTCTTGGGCTGCATCTAGCCAGTAAAGCTAGGGAGGCGTACAAATAACTGTTTGATGTAAGATAATGTTTTTTTGACAGTTTCAAGTAATTATGAGACAACTTGCACATTATATAAATTAATGCACATGACTCATTTGAACAAAACATCTACTGCAATGTGGCTTTATTTATAAATAGATTTTAGGTAGTTTTCCCAATTTGCTCTTTTATATATTCTTAAACTTAAAAAAAACCCTCAGAATTTATTTATTTATTTATTTATTTATTTTTGGACTCAAATACAAAGTTCCATTTATTTTCAGTAATGAAAGCAACACAACAAAGAGGAATTAATCCACTATTTTTAAAATCTAACACAGCCTTACCACGAAACTAGCCTTAATAAATAAAAACACATTACTAGTTACCAAGTTAGACTATTCTTGAGACTCTCTAAGGCAGTGGTTCTCAACCTTGGCTGCACATTAGAATCATCTGGGAATCTTTAAAATCCTGATTTCTGGGCCTCATCCTCTGGAAATTTTGTTTTATTTTTAAGATAAATAAACTCAGAGGAGCTTAGCAAAGCCATATATAGGAAGTGACTTACGGGTCATACCTGAGGACTAGTCCAGCAGGAAAAAATTACTCTGTAACATAAAATAACTAGAGAAATTAAAATATAGTATAATTTAGGAAACACTTTTAGAGTTGAGAGAGGACAGAGTAACAGACGGATATTCTGTTTCTTGTTACTAATGTTGTGGCCCCACCCCATAACAAAGAAACAGAATTTCCGGAGGATGAAGCCCAGAAATCAGGATTTTAAAAAGATTCCCAGGTGATTCTAATGTGCAGTCAAGGTTGAGAACCACTGCGCTAAGGTTTTGCCTGTGCAATGCGGTTTTAGGTTTATACAAACAGAGCACTGTTTTAGAGAATGCCAGTGTTGGATCAGGAGGTAAGACTCAAGTTACATGACAGCATATGTGTTTCTTATGACAGTGGATATCACAACTATCCAAAGGACTACTCACTTGACAGTTTCTCTAAAATGTTCAGTTTAGTCACCATAATTAAGATCCAAACCTGCAAAAAGTACTTCTCCACAGCGGATAGGCTTCCGTGGTCTTGTCCTTGGTCCTTGCATTAGTGGTCGTTCTTGGGGCAATAGAAGATAGTTTTTAGCCTCATCTACCAAGTCTCTGTGGAGAAAATTCTGCCTTTATTTCAAGTGTCTAAATAGCATTGTTAGTCAAATCCCAGCATAGTTTAGGAATAGGTAAGTTGGCAAAGAGATCAAGCATAAATCAAACCAAACCCTGAACGCCAGCCCACATTAACAAGGGTCACAAACGTGAGAGCAATGATGCCAGTCACACTCGGAGTCATGGACTGATTAGTATTTCCATTTTGACTTCATATCTCAGTGCAAATGTACCTCAACATGCTTGGGGCCAATAATAACTTATGGAAAATACCAGTGTTGGACTGGTCTTTTACAACTAGATTACCAGCCTAGTTATTGCTTTCTCAAAATTTTATTAGATTCTGCAGGATACTGGCAAAGTAGCACATCAGCCGTAGCACAAAATGTTTGCTAAATTAATTAAGGTAATAAAACTAGGTCAAAAATTAGATTGTTGCTAAAAAGAAGCATGGTGCCATCATTTAATATTGATTTGCTATCTGGTACTGTCTGAATGGTTTACTCTCAACAACTCTACTGAGGATGAAGAAATGTTTTTTTCTGTCTATTAAGTTATTTTATGAGAAGAACCTAGTAATTGTACCTAAAAAATATCCTAATGCACACTACTTCTGTATGTACTTATTTCACTTGAGTCCTTTGCGTGACGCAGTGCCTGACTAGTGCATATCCATCTGTTACTCTGTCCTCTCTCAACTCTAAAATGTTTCCTAAATTATACTATATTTTAATTTCTCTAGTTATTTTATGTTACAGAGTAATTTTTTCCTGCTAGACTAGTCCTCAGGTATGATCCAATAATGCACTTCCTATATATGGCTTTGCTAAGCTCCTCCGAGTTTATTTTAAAAATAAAACAAACAAAAACCAAAAAAATCTCCCCTGATGATGAAGAGCCTTTTCTAGCTTCCTCGGCCTTAAAAACAGAGACAGTGATCTCCTAATAGCTGGTTTTAAATTAGGTTTTCAGGGCTTCCTAGAAAGAGTACCATAGAGCTGATACTCAGCAAGCCAACCCACAATTAATAATAACAGCATTTACAGCCGTGTGCTGCTGTACGGCACACCAGCTCACTAATCCCCACCACAGTCTATGAAATTGGTACTATTACTATCCTAACTTTATAGATGAAGAAACCGTAGCAGAAAGAGGTTAAAGTGACTTGCCTAAGGTCACAGAGCTGGTAAATGCTGAGGTCAAGATATCAGGAAGGGGTTTCTTTGACAAATGACTTCACCTTTACTTTCTGCATCAGAATCAGTACAATCTGACTTCTGTTTTATGCACAAGGGGCACCTTTGTATTGTTTCTTCAGATTTCAGCATCCATAATTCCTATGGTTTTCCTGCAGGTACTGTAAATATCTGGGGGGAAAACTGCCATTTGTCTGTTTTTTAAATTTAAAAGATAAAAATCTAAAGCCCCTCTAACATCTGTTAAAGGGACAGACTTTAGATTACAGAAGAAATGCAAATTCATCTACATGTCCTTCCCCTGTTACAGGGATTCCTGATTTTAGTTAAGTTCTGATAATCCACTACCACTGGACCAGTCAGGGGCTTCTTGATTTTAGAACATGTTTCTTTAGTGTAAGTTAAGGAGTTCTGAGTACTAACTTGCTCTTTTATGAAAATGATTAAAATGAGAAAATGATTAAAAACACCACATGGCTTCAGATTTGAACCTAAATCGTAAAATCTGTCAAACTGGGAAAATTTATTACATTTCATATACATTATAGAGATAGCCCAATAAAGGAGGTGTTTTGTTTGCTTTGTAAAAGCATTTATAAAGCTACTTCCTAAGTGTGGTAGAACTTTTAACTTTGTCCACAGTCTCAGAAAACAAGGCCAGTCCTATTCCCTAATTGGGCATATATGATGGAATGAAAATGTGCTCCGGACACACTTTTTGACAAAACCAATAGCATTATTTATCTCAAGAAGAAATATATTAGCAGAGACTTACCTCTTCTAATTCAAGCTTGCATTAAAATCTTAGAAATCTACATCTTTATTGGCACTTCTACACCAAAAAAACACAATACATTAAAAAACTAATGGGACGAAATACTGGAAGTTCAGTCCTCTCTTCATCTCCTCCTCTTGACCCGAGCCAAGAATAAAAATCTGTTAAATACTCTGCTTTCAGCACTAGGAAACACACTAGTTAGGCAGCAATAGAAATATGGAAATTAGGAGAAAACAGGAACTCTTGGTTGTTGATTTTCCCAACAGAGCCATTCATACCTGCATTCTTCATCACTCTTGATGAGGGGATCAGAGCCCACGGTGCCCACCAGGAACTTGGGACTGAGCAAAGGCAGACGGACATGCTGGAGCACCTATGAGAAAATGAACATGCTTACAGGCTCGAGTGCCCATCTGCCAGGTTTTTAAGAGAATCGGTGCTCCCCTATTGTATTTCAATTGTTTGGGGATCTAATTGAATCAACTTACCAATTGATCTAATTAACATATAATGAAGAGGAAGGGAAGGCATAAATACTAAAACTAAATTCAATTTATTCTAACCACCAACTCAGTAATTAAAATAATCAGAAAACAAAGCACATTAATATCACTTTAGATCAGTGGTTCTCAACCTGTGGGTCGCGACCCCTTTGGGGGTCAAACGGCCCTTTCACACAGGGGTCGCCTAAGACCATCGGAAAACACATGTATAATTACATATTGTTTTTGTGATTAATCACTATGCTTTAATTATGTTCAATTTGTAACAATGAAATTGGGGGTCACCACAACATGAGCAACTGTATTAAAGGGTCGCGGCATTAGGAAGGTTGAGAACCACTGCTTTAGATGTTACTCGAAGCTTTCAGTAATATATTTATAAGCTCTTCTACAATTAGCTTATTTAACTGGATTCTAATTAAAAATCTAGAAGAATATCCTATTAAACTGCTAAAGCCTACAGTCATAATAACAAGAACATCAAACATTTCATTTAGTGACCACTTATGCCTCATATTGTCTCTTTATTCTTCAAAATGGCATAGGATTTCCAAGCCATAGGGAAAGGAAGCAGGACAGTCGCCTTCCTTGCTCTCTTCTGTTCATTTTGTACCATTTAGGACCTGTGGGTCGCGACCCCTGAAAATACATCCTGCATATCAGATATTTACATTACGATTCATAACAGTAGCAAAATTACAGTTATGAAGTAGCAACGAAAATAATTTTATGGTTGGGGGTCACCACAACATGAGGAACTGTATTAAAGGGTCGCAGCATTAGGAAGGTTGAGAACCACTGATTTAGATTCTGACCAGCTTTATAGCCCAAACCTAGAGTTGATGCAAAATAGAGAGGAAGGAGCAAAAAGTTTATGATAAACACATATCCCCTTAATTATTTGGAAACAGATGGTCTTTCTTACAGTCTAATATAAGGGACAGGAGTGATGCCTGCTCCTTTTTTTGCAAGTCAAATACATATTATGAAAGCAGTTACTTAGAGAAGCATTTCCATTATACCTGGGGTAACTGAGGACGTCTTTCTTGGATACTGTATTTGACCCAGGCCATCACTGCATTGAACACCTGTTCTTCACTGCGAACGTTTAGCTCATCACTAGATATTATATCAATGAGCTGATTGGCTGGAAGCAACATGAACTCTTCACTTTCCATCACCTGTTCAAAGTGAGGTAAGAATAAAAGAAAAAAACCTGTGATCATACTTAATTTATTGTCTCAATATTTTTCTTAAGGGTTATGAAGCAAAGTTCTATTCCACAATAGAGCTGAAGTTCAAAACAGTGGAGCAGAAAAGTTTAAAAGAAACAGATGGGCAGAGCTATGTTTAGGACAATGAAGCTATCATGTACAATACTACAATGGTGGATACAACATTACACATTGGTCAAAACGCACAAAATGTACAACACCAAGAGTGAACCCTAATGTAAACTATGGACTTGGGGTGATAATAACATGTCAATGTAGGTTCATCAATTGTATACCCCTCTGATGTTGATAGCGGGGGAGGTTGTGTGGGAACGTATGTGTGTGTGTGTGTGTAGAACTCTACTTTCTGCTCAATTTTGCTGGAACCTAAAACTACTCTAAAAAAATGTTTATTAATTTAAAAAAGGAAATGAGAGTACAGGGGACACAAAACTTGGGGAAAATAATAATTTATGATTCAAATAATTTAAGACAAATGACATCATTTTCCTAAAAAGAAGTATCAAAATAAAAGTTTACATTCAAAGTAAACTAAACTATACCAAATTATAACTCCAGAAATATAAGAGGCATAAAAAAATTCAAGAATAGCTTCCAGAGGAAGATTAGTACTGACAGAGCAGTGTCTAGGGTAGAAACACGAAGGAGCCAGTATAAAAAATAAGGGTGTCAGCAATTTTATAAGCAAGAATGGATATAATGAGGAGAATCAGACCCAGGAAAACCTCTGAAGACTAACGCACTCTTATATTTATCTATACCAGTATATCTATCTCACTGATATGTGTGTGCATACATTACATATATTGCCACACACACCAATAACTAATCTTTATCCAGGGCTAGGGAACTAACTGTCAGAATGGAGAGGAAATGACAAGGATATCACCTTGTCATGCATGCCATCCATAAATCCCAAAAGCTTATAGATCTTGCCATGACTATGCAGAGTACAAGGGCCAGGGTACAATGCAGGAGGGAATGGTAACCGCTACACTCCATGTGGTTTGTTCTCTCAACAGTACACGTGCTATGTGTGATGCCCATGTGTGCAGGAAGGATCTAGTGAAGAGGTCAATTCCTACTGCGTGACCTCTGATGCAGGTGATATATTTATTCTCTTGGGACAAGGTTATTTTCATGCTCATCAAAAAGTCAGAATATTTCCCAGAATATGAGATAAGCCATTGCTATTGAATATTGGATTAAGAATGTTTTTCCCAAGTACATTAGAAAAAAATGCGCATCTCAAAATAAAAGTTTCAGACCATAAAGTCAGCTATACTTATAGTAGAAAAGACTAATGAACATTTCATTTGTATGGCAAAAAGTTTCAAATCATCTGAGTGGGAGACCTTCTGCGGTTCAGGAAATTAAATAGGTAACGTTTACATTTTAGCTAGGTTGATTAGCCAGGCAGCTTAGAATGACTGCATTGTACTCTCTGTGGCAGGACTGTTAGATATAGCAAATAAAAATAGAGGACATACTTACACTAAAAGTTATTTGTTTATCTGAAATTTAAATTTAACTGGACACCCTGTATTTTATCTGGCAACCCTATGTTGGAGGCTAGAAAGGCCAGAGCCAAATTTGGGGCTTTGCTTCAAATTAAATGTGCTGGCCTTCACAGTGTGCAAAACTTAAGCCATGGCTGTATCCTACTTTCCTCTTTTCTTTTCACTCCGATTTCTTTACTTAAGTACAAGTAAGGTATCATATATCTTTGTGGAGTGCCTTAACATTCTTTGTGGATCTTGTCAGAGCGTAAACATTTTTCCCAACCTAGTATTATAAACCAAATGTTATGTGTCAATGATCACCAAGTTTAAAGTTTATAAGTGAACCACCATGATATTAAATAATGATATTAAAAATGATATCACTTACTGGAAACATCAGATGGCAAGAAGACATGAAAATCTGTGTGAGAAAATATTTGTTTGGCACTAAGGACAAAGAGTAAGAATAATACTTTTGATAAACAAAGTATGGTTAAAATGTCACTTCTCCTTTTTCACCAATAAGAAAAAGATACTGTCTACCATTAGGGCAAATCTAGCACTGACATCTATCCTGGAACCAAACAATCAGGTTAAGAAAATAATGCCTTGCCTGGCCCGTGTGGCTCATTGGCTGAGCATCAACCTATGAGCCAGGTCGTCAGGGTTTGATTCCTGGTCAGAGCACATGCCAGGGTTGAGAGCTTGATCGCCAGTAGGGGGTGTGCAGGAGGCACCCAATCAATGGTTCCTTCTCATCATTGATGACTATCTCTCTCCTTCTTCCTTCCTCTCTCTGAAATCAATAATATATATATAATACCTTAAATATCTGCTTTCTCAAACAAAAGTTTACAGGAGATCTGCATTTTAAGTCCCACACTATTATGGGAACTTTTTTCATTGATATAGGTTTTATCTGGTTTTCTGTTTCTTCTTGAGTCAGTTTTTGTAAATATATATATATTATCTCCTTCATGAAACAATCCCACACTCCTAGCTTTCCTCTTCTATTTATTCTCAGTTTCCTCTGCCAGCTGCTCTTCAGCTAACCCATCCTTTAGTATGGGAAAAATTTTAGGACTTTTTTCTTCTTTCCCCGAATTAGGTGACTTCATTTGCATTGATTCTTTTTATCTTGTTTACAGTGCTTTTGTTATTTAAAAGTTTAAAAGTTTTATGTAATCAAATTTATAAATTTTTTCTTTTATGGCTTCTCGATTATACCTGGCCTAAAAAGAAGTAAGCCATAGTTTAATTACTATGACTTAATTCCTATGTTGATGACTCCTAAATTTCAATCGCATCCTAATCTTTTTATTTTTTTATTTTTATTGATTTCAGAGAGGAAGGAAGAGATAGAAACATCAATGATGAGAGAGAATCATTGATTGGCTGCCTCCTGCACGCCCCCCACTGGGGAATCAAGCTCACAACCTGGGCATGTGCCCTTGACTGAAACTGAACCTGGGACCTTTCGGTCCGCAGGCCGATGCTCTACCCACTGAACCAAACCAGCTAGGGCCTAATCTCTTTTCTAAGATACAGACTCATATAAACAGAGGCCTACTCAATATCTCTATTTAGATGTGTCACAAGTGTCTCAAACGGAATATACCTAAATCGGAACCCATGATCTTACTTCCTCAAACATTTCCCCTCTCCAGTACATTTGTAGTACAAATTTCTAGAAATGGGATTGCTGAGTGTGTGCAATAAGTGTGTAATTTTGATAGGTACTGCCAAATTTCTTTTCAAAGGAGTTGTATCAATTTATACTCACACTAGCAATGTCGCTATTTCCCCCATGGCCTTATCAATAGAGTTTGCAATCCAACTTCTGAATATTTGTAATCTGGTAGATAAAAAATAGTACTTTGTATAGTTTTAATTCATGTTTCAGTTATTATGAACAAGCTTGAGCAGATTTTCATATGTTTAAGGGCAATCTGAATTTATTATTTTATTGCTCATTTTATTGGTCTTGGTTAGTGACCAATAGGAGCTTTTGATATATTAAGATTATTGCCTGTGATATGATTTGCACATATTTGCCCCCAGTTTGTCTTTGACTTATTTTGTTTTACCATGAAGACATTTTTTCATTTTATACAGTCAAATCTATCAATATTTTTTTCTATGCCTTCTGGGTTAGTCAATTAAGCCTTCTTTGCTTCAAAATTAGAAAGGAATTGATCTGTGTCATCTAATATTTTCATGGTTTCATTTGTATTTTTAAGTCTTTGAGCCACTGGAGGTTATCCTGGTGAACAGAAGAGTAATATTGAAGTGCAAAATGAACCATGTCTTTCCTTTGCTCAAAACACTTTAATGGTTAAATTTCAATTTCTTAACATGGTCTATTAACTCCAGTGCAATTTGGCTCTGTTCTTTCTGTAAAATCATTATGTAACACCCTCTCTTTTACTCTCTGGGTCTCACTAGATTTCTTTCCGTTCTTCAAACTAGTTATGCTTCTTCATGTCTCAGGATTTTGCATGAGCTGTTCTAGAACCAAAGTTAAATCTCTGTAACACACTGTTAAATCATCCAGGGTTTCTTCTTTGTAGCACCGACTGCTGTAATTAGTTGTGTAATTGTACATTCACTGGCTATCTTTCCTGCTGGATTATAAACACACAAAACAGACTCCAGGGGTCCGTTTACTACTGCAGCCTTTGTGCCTAAGCCCAGTGGCTGAAACATAGTAGCTTTACAAATATTGAATGAATGAATGAAAAATAACAGGCTTAATGAAAAATTCTTTTGATAATATCTAACCTCAATTTTTTTCTGATTACTCACCAAATAACCTCTGACCTATAATTTATTCTGCTGAATAATCCATATAATCGGGAAGGACATGCTTCAGGTAAATGACTAATGCCAGGTATCCTAGCAGACACACATCTCCTTATGAATTAATAAACTGTATTCTAACTTTTAAATTAGCCTTTTATGAATATGACATGACTAGGCACAATCAAGTCCTAAACTTTAACTATTATTGATAAACACAAACTTGGACTCTAAAATAAACACCAAGCTTAGAATTTATAACTTATTTAATATTATGATTTAGAATTGACAGTAAATAGCCAAGCTGCTATGTGTCAGTTAGCAGAGTGTGAGCCTATACACTCTCCTGACAAAGACATTATGAATACATTCAAACCACTAAGTACAACTCACCTCTTGAAAGTTATGTTGAGTGAACTTGTCTGCTATCCTTAGCAACTCACGACATGAATGTGTGTCAGCAAAAGCCCGAATACCAAGGCAGTTAGAGGGATCTAATTGTCTCTTTAAGAATTCGCAGCAGGCTTCCTGTATTTCTGCCAGCTGGAGGAGACAAGCAGCTGGCAGTAGGGTCTGAACATTGCCCTCTTCCACAGTGATCTGGGAGGTATATGCAAAGTCAATCAGCAGTTCCATAGCCCTCTCATCTATGTCTCGGATCACTACTTCTGTCTGCCGGCTCTCTGCCAATTCTCCTGTAAACATAGCGCGGAAGTAGGGACTACAGGCTGACAAAATGACTCGGTGGGCATATATCTTCTTAGCGCCCACAACTAACACCACATTGCAGAGCTCCCGGTGCTTTCTCAGGAGGTTAATCACTTCCAAGGTTTGTCGAGGGTGCTTGTCTGAGATATAGGGCATGCGGGCAGGTTGGGGAACCCCTTCTGGCAGTTTGT